ATATATATATATATATATATATATATATACATATATATATATACATACATACATACATACATATATATGTATATATATGTATATATATATTCATATATACATATATATATATATATATATACATTTTTGGGTTGCTATTTTTAAGAAATATTTAGAAAGCAAAAAGAAAAATAGCCATGCTGGTTTTTTGTTGTTTTTTTTTTTTAAGGAAATCTTGTTCAAGAGAAAATTTATTTAAAAAACAGATGCCTTTAAAACAATGGCACCTGCATTCCAAAAATAAATAAATAACTATACCCTTAAAAAAAAAAAAAAAAAAAACAGGCACTCAGGGCTATATTTGTGATGAATCAGGGCAAAAGCAGAGTCATCCCTGGGGCTGATTTAAACATCCCTCAAGCCTAGAGTTCTACCAGGCTGTCAGTCTTCCCTTCGCCCCGCCCCTCCACTTCCTGTCCCATACTACCCCCTCCACCCCCACCTCCCAGCTCCATTTTGGTCCACATAAACCAAATCACAGGACTCCAGGTCTGTAGGATTTCTGGTGTCGTGGGGTCTGCTACAATTTCCCAAGCGAGGAAGAACTGGAGGAGGAATGAATGACTTCCATCCTCCAAAAATAATAAAAATAAAAGAAGCCACAGTATTCATTCTGCAGGTACTCAGAATTATGTCCCGTGTCAGTGGCTCAAGCCTATATCCCGAAGCTGAGATCTGAGGATCACTGTTTGAAGCCAACCCAGGCAGAAAAAGTCTAGGAGACTCATATCTCCAGTGAACCAGCTAAAAGCTGGAAGTGGAGCTATGGCTCAAGTGGTAGAGCACCAGCCTTGGGTTTAAAAAAAAAAAGCTCAAGGACAGCACCCAGGCCCTGAGTTTAAGCTCCAGGATTGGTACACACACACAAAAATAAGTGTTATTCATAATACAATAGCAATAAAATCTCAACACTGGCGAAAGAATGTACGTGTTCAAATGAGCTGAATCAAAGCAATTCTGAATTACCCTTTGAGACTTGTTCTGATCCATGAAAGAAAGCCATTTTCATTCCTTTTACAGTTGTTTGCTGTTGGTGGTTGTGGTGGTGGTGGTGGTGATGGTGGTGGTGGTGGTGGTAGTTGTGGTGTGTGGTGTGTGTGTGTGTGTGTGTGTGTGTGTGTGTGTGTGTGTGTGTGTGTGGCTTTGCTTTTTAGCCTAGAATAGTATGGTGACAATGATCAGTCATCGAATTCATTCACTGAGCTCCTGACAGTTTTTGTTTATTTTTTCAGTTCAGTATGTTCATTAGCCTTTCTCATCTCTATGTCTAAAACACCTGACACAAACAACTCTTAAGAGGGGCAGGATTTGGGGTGCAGGGTTTCTTTCTTTCTTTTTGATCATTGGGTTCCAGGCTTGGGAGGGTACAATTCCGTTTTAACAGAAACCTCACATCCAAGATTTCCCTATGGAAATCCAATGGGATTGCAAATACAGAATGTGGTATCCAATTTCCATATGGGAAGATGAGAGTCTAATATGGAATCCATATTGGATTTCAGCCTTTATTTATTCTAGAGTAAATATAACTTGAAGAACTTCATAAATACTTGTTCCCTGATCTGTCTGTGTAAAATACCCGCAGCTACGGCAGGAAATGGGAGAGAAAGCTCTGGAGTGACCCAGATCTTTCCTTCTCCCTTGTGTCTTTCTTTTCTGTCAGTGGATATTTCTCCTCTCCATCCACAGGAAATCCACAAAGTGGGCAAAAAGAAAGAAAGAAAATTCAAAGTCTGCCTTTAGGGTGCTTCTATTGCAAACTAAAATTAACATTGGGCACCCGTGGCTCCTGCCTGTCATCCTACCTAACTCGGGAGGCTCAGATTTTGAGGATCCTGGTTCAAAGCCAGCCCAGGCAGGAAAGTCCATGAGACTCTTCTCTCCCATGAACCACCAAAAAGCTGGGACGTGGAGGTATGACACAGTTGTAGAGCACCTTGAGCAGAAAAATTTCAAGTTCAGTGCCTAGGACATGACTGGTACAACAACAACAACAACAATAATAATAATAATAATTTTTCCAAAGCTAAAATTAAGAGCAAGACTGCAGGAAGTCAGGAGGCAAAGAGAACTGGTTGATAAGATTATATTTTTCGGCCCTGTGTGGGTTGACTGATGAACTTGTCATTTCCCTGTGATTTTCACCAGCACGGCATCCGTGAAAAATATGAAGATGAGCTTCCATTTCCAAAGTGGGGGGTGGGGGGGGGGGGAGGAGGTTGGAGAGAAAAACCATCCTCATTGCATGCATGCAACGTGTTGCGATTCTGTCTGAATCTACTTAATTGAGATAACTTCCTTCTCTGTTTTACTCAGCCCTGATGCATGGCTCTTACTGCCTACCCAGCATGCCTAGCGCTGGGGGTGAGGGGTGTCAAGCTTCTTGAAGCATCTAGATTTGATGCATTTACTTTTCCTTTTGGGGGGGATTGCCACAGGGATCCTGTGGAATTGAATCACGGCCGGCTGGCTCTTGCCTTAATAGAGCTGGAGAATTTGGCCAGGTGCCACACCTTGAAATGCTGCACCTTGAAATGCTCCTTTCTTACCTTTGCATTTCCAACCTGCCATACTGCTGCTCAATCCCTTCAGCTTTTCTCTCTCTTTTTTCCCCCCTCAGTGTTTTTTTCCCCCCAGTTGGGTGGAAGTTTCCAGGCTGCTACGATGTCTTTTGGAGACTAGGATTTCTATGGACCATCTTCTGAACACAAGCACTGTGGGTAAAATCCCACAGCGTAAAGACATGTCCGTCGACGCATCTGTGTCTTGGGGTGTAGAAATGCAAGTAGAGTGGACATCCGGTCTCTGATGAGCCATCTCTGACACAGCATGGCTTCCAATCTGAATTGTTTAAGAATTAAATTCTTCACAGGCTGAGTGAGAAGCTATGGGGTTTGGACATGGGAGAAGCTGTCAGTTGGAAAGGGAGCCAGCCTTGAACCAGATACTGTCTCCCAGGAAAATAAACCACCCCTCAAATGCGCTAGGCCTCCCCCAACTCTTGGGATTATTTTTGGATGTTGTCTTCTCTGTAGGTCTGACTCTCTCTGTTTTATTCCAAACAAAGAATCCAATGTGGTTTTTCCTCCTTGGAACCAGAGAGAAGCAAACAGATGGCCCAGGGGAAAAGAATTTTGTTTAAAAAACAAAAAAAAAAAAAAGGAAATTCATTTCTAATGGACTAAAATCTACAAGAAGTATTATTGGACCCCAATCGACTATAGAATTCTATAAGTTGCTCGACTTTGTCAAACCCTACAATGTAATCTTTTCTTTCATTGTGCTCATAAAAACTTGTGGATTTCCTTCATGCAGTCTTTTTTCTTTCTTTTTGCCAGTCTTGGGGCTTGAACTCAGGGCCTGGGAGCTGTCCCTGAGCTTCTTTTTGCTTAGGGCTGGTGCTCAACCACTTGAGCCACAGCACCACTTCCAGCTTTTTCTGTGTGTGTGGTCCTGAGGAATCAAACCCAGGGCTTCATGCATGCTAGGCGAGCACTCTACCACTGAGCCACATGCCCAGTCCATAATATATATATATATATATATATATATATATATGTATGTATATATATATATTGTATATGTATATGTATATCGTATATGTATATATATATAGATATATACTATATGTATATATATACTATATACATATATATATATATTAATCATGTACACAGAAACTGGATGGTTCTAGAATTGTATTTATGTACTAAAACTGGTTAAAAAAAAAGATTCCCCAAACCAAGTAACTCAATATTCAAAGTGTTTGAAAACGCTGATATAGGGCTGGGAAGGTGGCTCAGTGGTAGAGCGCTTGCCTTGCATGCCTGAGGCCCTGGGTTCGATTCCTCAGCACCACATAAGCAAAAAGAAAAAAGCCAGAAGTGGCGCTGTGGCTCAAGTGGTAGAGCGCCAGCCTTGAGCTGAAGAGCTGAGGGACAGCGCCCAGGCCCAGAGTTCAAGCCGGACCCAAAAAAAAAAAAAAGAAAACGCTGATATATCCTGCTATGGGATCTAGAAATTCTGTATCCATTAAGTCTCCATCTTACAGAAACCCCAAAAAACTAGGAAACAGTGCTGTGGTATACTCTTCAAACCCCACCATCCTCACAGACTATCTTGATGTTCTGTGTGTGTGCATTTGCACGCTTGTAGCCAATTGCAGAAAACACAGACCATCCAAGAATGTAAAGAGTTAATAGGAAGGAAAGAGGAAAGATGATTGACAGATGATATCTCAAGAAAGAAAGCTGATAGATGATTGATAGATGATAGGTAGATAGGCAGAAATAGATGGATAGATAGATAATAGAGATAATGATTGATAGATATATGATAGACAGACAGACAGACAATACTCCAGGTTATCAAGCAGAAATATTAAGGATAGAATTACCCTCATCAGGGAGAATGTGTGATTATTATCTTTTAAAGAAACAGAGGGAAAGGGGCTTATGCCGGGCCCAATCTGTTGAAATTGCTTCTCAAAATGACCTCCAGTAAGTCAAAGGCTGTTCTTGACCCAAGAGAATGAAGGAGAAAATAGAATATGGACAAATGAATGGGAAGGAGAACCTGCCCCATCTCTTATTGATTCTTTACTCTTCGAATTGCATTCGCTGTCAGATGGAAATTGGTGGCTGCTCACACAGAAGCATGCACACACACATGCACGTGTGCACACACGCACACACACACACAGCGAGCAACATTTGTCACCCTCCTAAACTATAAAAGTACCTACAGTAGTAGGGATTCACTAGATGTTTCTGCTAGAAGTGCTTAAAATTTTTCAGCTCTAGAGATCAGCTCTACCTATCTATCCATCCATCCATCTATCATCTACCCATTCATCCATCCATTTATCTATCATCTATCTATCCATCCATCATCTATCTGTCTGTCTGTCTATCTAGCACCTATCGATTTATCTACCATTTACCAGAATTCCTTTGTGTCAGGCTGCTGGAGGATGCCCTGAATGAACCTTATTTTCAAAGCTGGTACCAGAAGCTGTTGGCTGCTCTCCAATTCTGTGTCGGAAAAGCCTTGAATGAGGAGTTTTCCAAGGAGAGGAAACTTGTCCACCTTCTGGGAGACATTGCGGAAAAAGTCAAAACTGCCAACGACTCTCAAAGACAGGTGTGTCAGGAAATCCATCTTAACAGAGTACAAATTGTGTGTGTGGTGTGTGTGTGTGTGTGTGTGTGTGTGTGTGTGTGTGTAGGTGTGTGTGTGTGTTCAAGTAAATTTTATTTATTTTTTTTTTTGGGGGGGGGTCCAGTCCGTGGGGCCTGAACTCTGGGCCTGGGGCGCTGTCCCTCAGCTCTTCAGCTCAAGGCTAGCACTCTACCACTTGAGCCACAGCGCCACTTCCGGCTTTTTTCTTTTTGCTTATGTGGTACTGAGGAATCGAACCCAGGGCCTCAGGCATGCAAGGCAAGCGCTCTACCACTGAGCCACCTTCTCAGCCCTCAAGTAAGTTTTAATGTCATAGCTTAGAAAGCAAATTCCTTGGCTATCCTCAGTTATCAGATATTTAAACCATTTCATGCGAGTTATTGTTTTCGCTTCCTTTCCCTAATATTAATGATAATGTCTGTCACCACAACACAGCTTTTCTTAAGAGTTCCATAAACTACACAGAGGGAAGCTGAGGAGAAAGGACCAGAGGTTCAAGCCCCACGTCTGACAGAACAAAAAATTTGGTCAGTCTGGGGCTTGAACTCGGGGCCTGGGCGCTGTCCCTGAGCTCTTAGACTCAAGACTGGCGCTCTACTACTTGAGCCACAGCGCCACTTCCGGTTTTCTGGTGGTTAATAACAGGAGATAAGAGTCTCATGGACTTTCTACCCAGGCTGGCTTTGAACCGTGATCCTCAGATCTCAGCCTCCTGAGTAGCTAGCATGACAGGCGTGAGCCACCAGTACTCAGTGAAAAGACCAATTTAAAGACACTTGGACCCCTGACAGTGCATCTTAAAACATCAGTACAACTTAGACTGTTGTAAGAATGCACAAATTCTAGGTTAAAGTTTTCTTAAGATTGGCCGGAGCGCTGATGGCTCAGGCCTGTCATCCCAACTACGCAGGAGATCTGAGAATCACAGTTCAAAGGCAGCCTGGGCAGGAAAGTCCATGAGACAATTCTCCCCAATGAGCCACAACAAAAAACAGAAGTGGATCTGTGATTCAGGTGGTAGAGCACCAGCCTTGAGCCAAACACAACAAAACAGAAACAAAATCCTCAGGGACAGTGCCCAGGCCCTGAGTTCTGGCACAAATAAAAAGGGTGTTTAATCAATAGGAAAAAGAATAATTTGCAAGACTCAGGCTCTTGACAATTTCTTGTTTTTTATTGTCAAGATGATGAACAGAGGGAGTCCCAGTAACATAAGCTAGGTCACGAGTACATTTCTTTTTGGAACAGTTTGACGGCTTCTGAAGTGCTTCTGTTTCCTAATGATTTATTTCTCTTCCAGGAAGTCCTGGAGGAAGAGATAGGCAGGTTAGAAGAATTTCTTTCAAGATGTAAAGACTTGCCATCTTCCTCTAAATCCTGCCTGGTGTGTCAAAGGAATTGATCGCAATGTAAGTCAACTGATACAACAGATAAGTATTTCTTAGTCTATTGTATATAAGCAAATATGTGTGTGTGTTGTGTGTGTGCAATTTTTTTCCTTCTGTCAGTCCTGGGGCTTGAAACTCAGGCCCTGAGCGCTGTCCCTGAGCTCTTTTGTTCAAGGCCAGTGCTCTACCACTTTGAACCACAGCTCCATGTCTGGCTTTTTTGGGGGTGGTTCGTTGGAGCTCAGAGTCTCACGGACTTTCCTGCCCAGACCCGGCCTCCAACTGCGATCCTCAGATCTCAGTCTCCTGAGTCTCTAGGATGACAGGTGGGAGCCCCTGGTAGCGGCTGTATGTTTTCAAATTAACTATTTCTGGCTGCAGAAATCATGCAGCCTCGTCCTTAAAACTGTAACACCCAAAGATCGACAAGAAGGCTTGTAATTGGTGAAGGCTTTCAGTTAGATTGACATGGACAGGTCAGTTAAGACATGGACCCTGAGCTTTTCAACTCACAGGGCTAAGGTCCACAAAACCATATTTTACCAAGTTGATACAATTGAACACATCAGATCATTTTTATTCTCTTTTTCTCTTATTGATTGAACGCTTCCTGAGCTCTCCTCACGAGCCAAACGCACACACACAGCCCACAGCCCGTCAATTCTCACACCATCACAAGGAAAATAAAATGAGTAGAAAACCAGCCAGTGTCTGAACACTGAAAACACAAATGCCACCAGCCAGGGAAGAAAGGGGAAGGGGAAAATCCATGGCACTGTTATTTAGACAGAAAACAGCCGTGAATGAAAGGGAAGGAGCCGGGCACCTGTCTGTGGCCCAGGCCTGAGTTCAAGACCCAGGACCAGCAAAAGAAAGAAAGATAGGAAGGAAGGAAGGAAGAAAGGGAGGGAGGGAGGGGAGGGAGGGAAGGAAGGAAGGAAGGAAGGAAGGAAGGAAAGGA